AGCAAAGACTGTCAGGGTCTCATCTCCCAACAACTCTGAGATGGGTTTGACAATAGTGTGAGGAAGGCAGCTCAGTCGCCAGGGCTCATTCACTATACTGGACTGTGCTCCCGTGTCCCACAGGGCTCTGACTGGTCGATTGTCCATGAAACAGTCCACCATACATCGGCTTCCTACAAGGCTTACTAACTGTGGCTGGTGTCGAGGTGGTATATAGTGAACTACACTTACAGCAGGTGAGGCGCCCGATGCTCTCTTTCCCAGGGCTGTTGTCGGTTGAATGACTGAGCTGGGTGGTGGCTGCTCATTTTGGGGCGCTGTTACTTGGACTACTGCTGGCCCCATCTCAGTAGCCCCTGCCCGTTTCCCGACAACGCTCTGCATCCGCGAGAGAAGTGGCCTTCCTTCCCACATTTGAAACAGTGTGAACAGCTCTCACCTGTTCTCTCATCCCTACATTTCTTGCAACCTTTTTCTCTCGGCCTTTGTTCAGGAGAACGGGGGTTCGCTTCCATTACAGCCAGAAACATTTGCTTCATCTCTTTACGAAGTTCTTCCATCATCTGCTGTACATTCATGCTGTCAGGTTTAGTCTCGTTCCCTTTTACTGTTGTGATTGCTGCTGCTGGGTTGGACTCCTTAAGTTTAGAGGGGCTCTGGGCAGGTTTGGATTTTACCTGAGTATCTGCTTGAAGCTCCTGCACTTTGGGCGTCTTACCAGCGGTGGATCTCTTGCGCTTTTCTTGTCTCTCACTTTCGACTTTGGCCGCCTCATCCACTTTCTGTATAAGCTCTTCATCTGAAATACTCAAATCACTGAGGTAGGGCAGAATTTGGAATTTCACAGAATCACTTAACAGTCCAGTTTCAATTGAGCGGAGGAACTTGCGTTGAATGACGGCTCGGCTGTACTGTTCATCTGTGTCCTCATTTGCTGCTTTCCATAACAGCTTCTCTTTCAGCTCGATTGCACGGAATACAAAGTTCAGGACAGTTTCTTTGGGCTCTTGAGAGATGTTTAGTAGCTGATGGTAAAGTTCAGTGGAGCTATCTACACGATAGTGGCCTTTCAGGATGGTGAGAAGTGAACTGAGGGTCAGACCACGTTTAATCTCTAGCATGTCTCTCAAAGGCAGCCCTGGACTGACAGCCCTGATCACAGCTTCGACTACTTCAGTCTGTGTGTGCCCTTTTTCTATTCCCATCTCAATCTGTCGAACTAAACTGGGGTACGACAATTTATCCCTCTGACCACCCTCTCCAATTTGACCACAGATCTTAAACTCTCTTCGCATGGTTACCTCAGGCAATGGGTGAGTTGGCTCTAGTCGGCTCCTGAGCGAGGACTCTGCCTTCTTTACAGGGGGACTGGGTGGTGCAAAACGCTTTTTTTCTTCTTCCTTTGGAGCTGGCTTCTCTGATGGCTTCACTGCATCTGGTTGACGACCTTCTTTACTTTGTCTTTCAATGTATGTCAATAAATCAACACAGTACTGTTTAACTTGATCACCTTCTTCGCTCTCCTCTAGATCATCCAATACGCACTCCGCCATCTTGATGAGCGCCCTCCGTGTCTTGCTGCAGGACTCTTCACTGTCCAGGCCATCACATTTCATGTACCTGCAGACCTCCCAGAGAGACTCTTCCCTTAGCTGCCACAGAGCTGCACTCACTTGATCACGCAGGATCTGACTGGCGTCCATCTTGTTTCCGGATCGACTCGTTGGGAAGGAGGGGGTTAATGGTGTTGGTCACTCTATCGCCTCCTCCTGGCTGGCTCGCCAAAATATGTTACACTTTTTGGAATGAGGCAATGTCACTTCCGGGTGCAACACATTTATTTTTCTGTATGAAACACAAGAAAATGCAATGTTCAAACAAGGAGCACATTTCTCTGCACATTCGCGCTTCATCTCGTGCTGGACTACTTCTATACTCTTATCCTGTGATATATTCACAAATTATCTTGACTCGCATGACTGATGTCTAGGCTGATACGTCACACTAGACTAGACTCCTTACAATACTCCATTTTCAGAAAATACATGTTCTTTACACAAACACATTAACATGGATCTAAACATGTGCTATGCCCGTTATTAAACTGATATAAAAGGAAAAGGTCTGAAAAATAACATCTTTAAAGTACAATAAACTCTATGAGTCATACATTTAAACTCAAACAAGCATGTGAATAGTATTTGGAATTAAAATAGATTTTCAGGTATCAGCAATAGTTCAGTCTATACCCACATTACTCTAACATTGATAACTGCACGTGTATTCCTAATACTCTTTCATATCACTGTTTAACTTGTCTTTAATCTTTTTTACTCTTCCATGAAATATGCTAATGACCTGACTACATTATGAACTAAATTTTAACCATTTAACAGTTACTGTGTTATCACTATGAACTCACAAAATTATTAATAAACTGTTTTACCTCTCAATCTGACTATGGTTCTTAATTTAACAGTATTAACGTCCTTTATTTTTACATGTAATGGCTGACAAAGCAATGCTAAATGAGGGTCACGTGTATATACGAGGGCTAAGAACAGTCACGTGTGCCTCATTAACTCCAATTGCCCAGACTTGTCTCTACACGCATTTCAATCAATGTTCATACACATATATTCGGTTAATTATGCCTCATCCCACACTCACGTCGAGTATATATGCTTTTAAACCTTTATTACTCCGTTTTGCTCACGTTAAGAGTTACTAGTTTTCTACTAATTAAATAGTTAACACTCCCGTCCGCCATTTCACGACATAACTCTTAATCACCGTTAAAACTTCACTTTTCTTAACGTTTCAGGCACAAACTATGGCTCTATAAGAATATAATACTGTTATACATATACCAGTGTAAGGTTATTGTCAGCTTACCTGTATGAAACACAAGAAAATGCAATGTTCAAACAAGGAGCACATTTCTCTGCACATTCGCGCTTCATCTCGTGCTGGACTACTTCTATGCTGCTAACTAGTCAGCCACTCATGCGCCGCGCAACTCCCGGGTGCCCCCTGCTGGCGACTCCGAGTCTCACCAAATTGAACACAATGAAAGTCATACAAGTAACTAACGATAATATGAACAGTTTGAAATTTAAAGGGGGGTGCTTTGATATCTGTCCCATTTTACATTCTTAGTGCTACACGTGCATATGCACAACGAGGAACAAGTTAGATATGTCATGCAGCGCGATGAAACACACCTTAGGTGTTTTCTTTTCATTGCTCAGAGGTTAGTTATTGCGTGCATAAGCATAACGAGGCACAAGTTAGATATGTCATGCAATGCACTGAAACACGTTAGGTGTTTTCTTTTCACTGCAGAGAGGTTAGTTTGGCGTGCATATGCATAACGAAAAACAAGTTATATCTATCATGTAATGCAATGAAACACATCTTAGGTGTTTTCTTTTCATTGCACCTAGGTTAGTAATTGCGTGCATATGCATAACGAGGAACAAGTTAGATAGGTCATGCAATGCGATGAAACACATCTTACGTCTTTTCTTGTCATTGCACAGAGGTTAGTTATTGCTTGTGTAACAAGAGTTACTTAAAACATCAATTAGTATACCACAGTGACCTATTTTAGTGATATTTAAGTTATTAGAAACCAGAATTAGGTTCGGCTCTTGAAATGAATTGGCTACGACCTCTGTTTGAATAGCAAACGCAGTATCAAAACATTTATTTTAACATTCCAGATGGATTGTGAAACACACAAAAGAAACAATAATAACAAATTTCCCCAAAATAGTCAGTCAGTTAAAAGAAAAGAAAAAAAAAATCAGTCCAGTCAAATAGTTCAATGTTCAACTCAGTTGAGTTTCAGTTCCAATCAATTCAGTTCCAATGTGGTTTGTCAAAAGGCCTTGTTTCAAATCACTACCGGCAGTGTGTGATAACGTTGGAGATCTCTTTAAATCTTATCTGTATGACGTATCCGAAAATGTGCGGTCCATCCACTTGGTGAGTTGATGGCCACTGGTTACGGTCACACTCCAGAATCACTGAATCGCTGAATCACAGGATCGCTGGCTCGCCGTAGAATCTCTCTCTCTCTCTCTCAACAGTGGCAAAATATGCACACACACAAAAAAACCAGTCGAAGATTCTTAAAACAAGCAAGGAAAACAAAAGTGCAAACGGCAGTTTACAATAACTAAAACTTCTTTAAGCTTTTACAACATTGAAAATTATTTATTCTGTGTGTTAAGCGATCTGCTTTACTATATTTATCTCACTCCGTCTTCATCTCACAATGCACTTGACGAGAGGGTAGAAAAAAATAAATCCCCAGTCTTCTTTAGCTGTGCAACAGAGTGACTCAGACAATAAAACGTGAAACAGCGCCATCTAGGGGAATGGAGAATCACAGCAACTATCTCAGTCCTGTACAGTTTATGTGGGCTACATCCTCCCCCCCTGAATGTGCATGCGTCCCTGCATGTATCTATAGCTACTTAAATAGTAGTCAGTTGGTCTGTTTTTAAAGCAGTAAACTTCAGTGTGGGATGTAAGTCCAAAGCTTTTGTAAAAGCCTGGTCAAGACCATTCAACAAGGAGTGCATAACTAGAGTCAAGGGGTTCCCTAATGTCTGGTAAGTCAGCCGGTCAGGCTCTACCCTATATCTAACTGATCTTCGCACTTCTGCGTCCTCTTTTTGTAGGACATCATTCACACTCAAATCTTCAGGTTCATGTTCCTCTGATTGTTCATTTTTGTTTTCTTTCTTCACAGGTTCCTCTTTGTCTCCATGTTCTTTTTCAGGTATGGTTTGCACCACATCATCTTCCTCAACTTCAAGACTCATCTCATCATCCCTCTTTCCTATCTCATTAGGCAAATCATTACCCCCTTTCACTTTGTGGAAATTTTCTCTCCAATCCTCTGTTGGCTGGAATACCTCAGCTTCAGGTCTCAGTCTTGATTCCTCAGGGCTTGTGTTGGTGTTTTCCTCTCCTGAAGGAGGCCTAGGTTAAATCTGAGGGATTTCATGGACAACAGTGACAGGTGGGTGAATTGTCACCAGCATTTCCTCTGGATAGTCGTAATCAACTTCCTCCTCACTATCATATGATTCCAGCTGTTCTCCCTCTCCAGACACTGGAGTCTGAGCAGGTTGCACTGTGGCTTTGTTTTGCTTATGCTGATTCTCTTCTGCTTCTTCGGATGGAGCCAGGAAGCCACAAGGTAAGAGCAAGTCACGATGCAGTGTCCTTTCAGGGCCATCAGAATGAACAGGTGCTACGACATAGACAGGAGAATCATTTATGTGTTTCACTACTTTGTACACAGTTCGACTCCAGCGGTCAGCTATCTTGTGTTTGCCCCGCACCCCGACATTCTTGACGAGGACATGGTCTCCTACTTCCAAGATGGATTCTCTTACTTTCATGTCATATCTCTGTTTGTTTTTCTGAGCGATTCTTTCACTGTGTTCCACTGCAAGTCTGTAGCTCTCCTGCAGATTCTCTTTGAGCCTTTTCACATAATCAATATGAGTGGTTCTGCTCTGCCCCTCTGGGTGTAATCCAAACGCCACATCAATTGGGAGGTTTGGCTGCCTCCCAAACATTAGCTGGTAAGGAGAAAAGCCTGTTGTGTCATTTCTGGTGCAATTGTATGCGTGCACCAAAGGCTGCACATAGTCTCGCCACCTGGCCTTACTTTCTTCCTCTAGAGTCCCAAGCATCTCCAAAAGCGTTCTATTGAACCGTTCCACAGGATTGCCGCGTGGATGATAAGGGGTGGTTCTGGTTTTCTTGATCCCCAACAGCAGGCAAAGGTCTTTGATTACAGCAGATTCAAAGTCCCGACCTTGATCGCTATGTAGACGCTCAGGTATGCCATAGTGAACAAAGAAACTGTTCCACAACGTCTTGGCTACCGTCTTGGCCTTCTGGTCTGCAGTAGGTACTGCAACAGCATATTTTGTAAAATGGTCAGTTATTACTAGAATGTCCTTTGTCCCACGGCCATCAGGTTCCAAAGACAGGTAATCCATGCAGACTAGTTCGAGTGGTCTGCTGGTCCTAATGTTCACAAGACAGGCTGTCCTCTCAGCTTTTGCTTTGCGACGAATACATCTCTCACAAGTTCGCAACTTCTTATCTACGTCCGTAGACATCTTTGGCCAATAAAACCGTGTACGGACCAGGTCTATGGTCCTCTCGAATCCCATGTGTCCAACTGAATCGTGGAGACCTTCTAGAGCTGTTTCACGATACTTTGTGGGAAGAACCAGCTGGAAAAATGGTTTACCACTGTTCATCCTCTTGCGGTAAAGGACCGCATTGTTAATGACGAGTTGATCCTGCACTCGAAGCATGAGTTGGACTTCTTTGTCCTCTTTCTGTCTGACATGATAGGAAAGGCGTTTCCCTGTGGTAAGTATGTCCATGATTCTGCTGATTACTGGATCAGCTCTCTGCTCTGCAGCCCATTCCAACGGTGACATTCTGGGAAGGGTGCTGGATCCTGGAAGCATATCAGAATGAGTGAACTCAGCTGGGATAGCACTTGCATCCATGGCAAGGGATTCAACAATCACAGGTGAGTAATTACTCTCTTTCCCCATACTGAAAGCTCCATCTAGGTCATGTCTCTGGCATACAGCTTTAATTGCTTCTTTTGGAAAAGTGGCATCACTCTGTTCTTTTAAAAACTTTGACAGGAACTGCAAAACTCTATCGTCTTCAGCTTTGGCACTCAAATCTGTCTCATCAAGGTCATGTGGACGCCTGGATAAGCCGTCTGCATCTTGATTTCTCTTGCCGGCCCGATACTGAATGCTGAAGTTGAAATTTGACAGGGCCGCTAGCCACCGGTGGCCAGCAGCATCTAGTTTGGCGGATGATAAAATATAAGTCAGGGGGTTGTTGTCAGTGACAACGGTGAACTCGGCTCCATAGAGATAGTCAGAAAATTTGTCAGTTATTGCCCACTTCAAGGCAAGAAATTCCAGTTTATGTGTGGGGTATCTCCGCTCACAGTTTGACAACCCCCTACTGGCGTAGGCAATAACTTTCATCTGTCCATCCTGCTGTTGATACAGAGCCGCCCCAAGGCCATGAAGACTAGCATCAGTATGGAGAACATATGGCAGTCGAGGATTGGCAAAGCCCAAAATTGGGGCAGTTGTTAACTTTCCAATGAGAGCCCTGAATGCTTGTTCGCACTTAGCTGTCCATTTTTCAGCAAAGGGTGACTTAAGGTCTGTGCTGGCAAAGGACTTGGCTTTGCATTTCCGCCTTGCCGGAATGTAGCCAGCAGTCAGATCATTGAGGGGCTTTGCAATTTTTGAAAAGTCCTTGATGAATCTTCTGTAATATCCGGTAAAACCAAGAAAGGACTTAAGCTCTCTAATATTGTCTGGTCGGGGCCAAGTTGTGAGCGCAGAAATCTTTTCAGGGTCAGTTTCTACTCCATTCTCCGAGACAACATGTCCCAAGTACTTTACCGACTTCTTGAAAAAATGACACTTCTCAGGCGATAACTTGAGCCCAAACTCTTTCAGCCTGCTCAGAACTCGCATGAGTCTCTCCTCGTGCTGTTCAAGGGTTTCCGAGAACAAAATAAGGTCATCAAGAAAAACAAGAACTTCTTTTTGGTTCAAGGAGCCCATGCATTTCTCCATGACTCTTTGGAATGTGCTTGGAGCGTTTGTTACCCCTTGTGGCATCCTATTGAACTCCCAAAACCCCATAGGAGTGACGAAGGCTGTTTTAGGCTTGTCCTCCTCTGCCATTTCCACCTGATAGAAGCCTGACTTCAAGTCCATCACAGAGAACCATCTCGACCCAGTCAGAGCAGTAAAAGTCTCCTCAATATTTGGCAAAGCGTAAGCATCTTTAATGGTCTGAGCATTTAATTTTCTGTAATCAATGCATAATCGAATTTTGCCACTCTTCTTCTTTACAATTACAACTGGTGATGCAAATGGACTCTCAGACTCTCTAATGATGCCCGCGTCATACAGCTCTTCCAAGTGGAGCCGGACAGCTTCGTAATCGGATGGGTGGATGGGTCTCACTCTCTGCTTAAAGGGTGTTGGATCAGAAAGACGGATCTTGTGCTTGACTGCTGTTGTATGTCCATAGTCAAGGTCACCACTCGCAAAGACTTCAGAAATTGAATTCAACCTCTTTGTAATCCTTTCTTTCCACTCTTCGGAGAGTGGAGAGTCACCAAAATCAAAAGTGATGAGGTTTTCTGGAGCCACTGAGTGCAGTGTGTAGCACCTAGTTGCGGTGCTAGCAGAGGATGACTGTTTACTCTTGGTTACGTCTTTGCCTGTTAAAGAGGTAAGTGGGGAAACAGATAATGGAACGGTGAGCTCTGCTAAGGTGCAGTGTGCTGGCACTGTAACACTGTGTGGGGTTTCATTCTTGAGCAAAACAGGCACTTTAAAAGATGTCCGTTTGGGACTTGACATGACATAACTGCAGAAGGTCAATCCGTTTGGTAAGCATGAATGAGATGGGAAATCTACCAATAGGGAAGTGCCAGAAAGACTATTCACGTTCCTCGTATAGCCATCTACTGCAACTTTCTGGCCTGCTGGGATGACTATTGCCTTCTTGTGAAGAAGTTTGACTTTATTCACTTTGTTTTTGCCTTGTGCTTTATTCTTATACAGACTGTGCAGGTGTTGGATGAGAACAGCATACGCACAATTTTCAGGGACAGGCCCACCAATCTCCTCACTGAACCCGTCATACAAGACGTCCAGAGCATTAGTTCCAATGAGGACTGAGACGTGAACAGAGGCACTAGAATCGGGAACGACGAGAGCTAGCGTGCTAACAGTTTTGGGGCTACCCGTGAAAGTCTCTGGAAAGAGTATTTCAATCTCAATATAACCAATATAAGGCACACGCTGGCCTGCTGCCCCCTCTACTTCAATGAGATTAGCCAAAGGACAAATTGGATGAGAAGCTAAGTGGGAGTCATGGAATGACTTGGAGATTGTGGTGACTTGTGAGCCTGAATCAATAAGGCACTCATGTTGAATTCCTTCGATGGTGACGTTAACTAATGATCTTGATCCAACTAATCCATTCATGAGATCATCTCTAGTGGGTCCAGTGGAGAAACAGTTGGCCTCTAGGGTTTGCCATCTATTTTTAGGACTACTGTCACGATCATTGGCTCCGGGACGTCCCTCTACCGGAGCCTCGCCCAGTTTAAAGAAGAGCCCTGTCTTGCTTTCCACTCATCCTGCTTTAACTTCAGTTCCTTGTATTTCATGTCGACTGCATCTTTGTTCATGGGGTTCTCACACATTCTGGCAATGTGGCCATCATCCCCACATCTAAAACAGAACCAAGCCTTTGGCTGTGCTCTAGGTGTAACTTGGGGAGTCGCTTGGTGAACTTGAGCCTCAGCTCGGGGTGGTGGTGGATGTAGGCCAGACTCAAGAACTGCAGCCTCACGCCTTCTCTCTTTTTTGGATTTCTTGGCGTTGAGTTGCATTTGCAGCTCAGCAACTTGTTTCCTCAAGCTTTCAGTCTCAGATATGTACGCTTGTAACACACTGGCATTGTTATCAGTAAGGCAAGAGAAGTTGGCCACCTTTTGGATATTCACTGAGGATTTTCCTTTGGAGGTCCCTAAATGGCGGCTCATACGGTCAAGTTTGGTGGCTCTCTTGTCCTCTTCAGTTCTCAGCTGCAGTAAGAACTCAGCAAAGTCAAGGGATTTATCAGTTTTTAGCTCTAGCTGAAGAACAAGGTCGTGGTCCCAACAGCCACGCTTAAACTGCTTCATCAGGTGCCGGTTTACATCAGACGGCCTAACCCCTCCTCTCTTTACTGCAGTACTCAGCAGCGTTTGCAATCTCTGCAGGTAAGTGGAAGCCTTTTCTCCTGGATCCTGGTTTGTGTTCAGGAATCTAGCAAATATCTCTTCGCCGTCTTCTACCAGGCCAAAAGCAGACTCCAACAGCCTCATATAGTCTCTGGGATGACCTGATGAACCTAGCTGTCTAACAATATCTGAGGCTGGAGGAAGCAAACTCTCTAATATTCTCCTCCTCTGCACTTCAACAGAGACATTGTCGTGGAACATCAGCTCTACATGGAGTAGCCAAGTTTCAAAGTCGGCTTCGCCTGGTGGCTTAGGCACTCTGCCAGAGAATGAACGCAACCTCTTGGAATCATTTTGAGACTTTGGTGCATCGCTTTTTATCACATGTTCAACAACAATCCGCCTCACCTCTGGTGGGTTCAACACTTCCTCATCCAGGTCATCAGCCGAAGTGGGAGCGACCCTTCCCCTAGCTGTTGATTTGGGCTTTATCTTCACTTGCGTGGAAACATGTGGGTAGGGCTTAGAAATGTCATTTTTCTTCCTGGATCTATGAATGAGGGGCGTTGTGCTGTCGTCAGAGTCAGTGCTGCTACTGCCATCAGAGTCGCTAGAGTCTGTGACTGTCTGTGTGAGTACTTTAATGCTATCAACACGCCATGTCACTACAGTGTCCCTTATATTTTGTATGTCAAAAGGTAACTTGGGCTCAACTAAAGCGTTAGCAGCAGCTGATTCGAATTCTACAATGGCATTACATTTATCCTCTTCTTCTGTGGTTGACAGCCTAACTACTTTAGTTACTGTGCCATACTTTTTAAGGGTTGCAGTAATATCTTCGTCTTTGTCAGTGTGGGCGACGCCTAACACGACAATGGACCGGTCTGTCTTGATACCGAATTCCTGTTCTACATCCATGTCTACACTGTAAACAGTTTCACTCAATGCAATAAGTAATAACACCTCCAAAAAAAAGGAAAGAGAAAAAAAAAATAAAAAAATATCACAGAAATGGCAGTACGTATCTAGAACTCTGGAATGTACGTTCAACTGTCTTGGTCGTGCTCAAAACACTCCTGGCTGGCTCGCCACTAGCTGTAACAAGAGTTACTTAAAACATCAATTAGTATACCACAGTGACCTATTTTAGTGATATTTAAGTTATTAGAAACCAGAATTAGGTTCGGCTCTTGAAATGAATTGGCTACGACCTCTGTTTGAATAGCAAACGCAGTATCAAAACATTTATTTTAACATTCCAGATGGATTGTGAAACACACAAAAGAAACAATAATAACAAATTTCCCCAAAATAGTCAGTCAGTTAAAAGAAAAGAAAAAAAAAATCAGTCCAGTCAAATAGTTCAATGTTCAACTCAGTTGAGTTTCAGTTCCAATCAATTCAGTTCCAATGTGGTTTGTCAAAAGGCCTTGTTTCAAATCACTACCGGCAGTGTGTGATAACGTTGGAGATCTCTTTAAATCTTATCTGTATGACGTATCCGAAAATGTGCGGTCCATCCACTTGGTGAGTTGATGGCCACTGGTTACGGTCACACTCCAGAATCACTGAATCGCTGAATCACAGGATCGCTGGCTCGCCGTAGAATCTCTCTCTCTCTCTCTCAACAGTGGCAAAATATGCACACACACAAAAAAACCAGTCGAAGATTCTTAAAACAAGCAAGGAAAACAAAAGTGCAAACGGCAGTTTACAATAACTAAAACTTCTTTAAGCTTTTACAACATTGAAAATTATTTATTCTGTGTGTTAAGCGATCTGCTTTACTATATTTATCTCACTCCGTCTTCATCTCACAATGCACTTGACGAGAGGGTAGAAAAAAAATAAATCCCCAGTCTTCTTTAGCTGTGCAACAGAGTGACTCAGACAATAAAACGTGAAACAGCGCCATCTAGGGGAATGGAGAATCACAGCAACTATCTCAGTCCTGTACAGTTTATGTGGGCTACACTTGCATACGCATAACGAGGAACAAGTTAGATATGTCATGCAATGCAATGAAACACTTGTTAGATGTTTTCTTTTCAATGCACAGAGGTTAGTTATTGCGTGCATAAGCATAACGAGGAACAAGTTAGATAGGTCATGCAATGCAATGAAACACATCTTAGGTGTTTTCTTTTCATTGCAGAGAGGTTAGTTATTGCGTGGATAGGCATAACGAGGAACAAGTTAGATATGTCATGCAATGCAATGAAACACATCATAGGTGTTCCCTTTCAAGGGAACTCAAGCTGCGTTTGGAACGCGGTGGGAACGCTCTGCGTGATTGCGTCGTGAAGCACGTGTATAATCTGTCCAATGGAAGAACAAGACGTCATGGGCGATGACGTCATGACCAGGAAAACTATAAAGCACCCCAGAAAATAGACCGCATCAGCTTCTGTGCCTTCACAAGCGCTCTCTGTATGAAATTGTCCGTGTCTGATTTATTGTTGTCTGTCGGTTCACAATATATCGTGTAATGGCTAAACAAGAATACAAGCGTTGTGTTGTTCCCTGCCCTCGTTTCATCACGGGTGGGGACACACATCAGCTCTGTGTTGCTTGTTTGGGAGTGGAGCATGCCCAGTCAGTTCTCGAGGGAGCTGACTGTGAGCATTGCGATAAGCTGTCTGTGAAGACGCTCCGCTCTCGCCGGGCGTTCTTTGAGGAGGACGGTTCGGTGCGCGCTCCCCGAGGCGCGGGTCCCGCTGCTGCCGAGGCACAGCGTCGGCGCTCGTCTTGGGGATCGCAAATGGATCTAACAGCGGGGTTTGAGACGGGCTCTGCCCTTTCTCAGCCCTTACCGGTTGGATCTAGTGCCTTATCTCAGGGAGAAGCACGCGCTGCGGTTTCTTCTCCCCGGGATGAGGCACAAAGTCTGCGACTATCCAGTTCTGAGGAATTGGATGTCGTTAGTATTGATGCAAGTGAACATGAACACACGAAACCATATCACAAGTCACTTGTAGATGAGGAGCTCATGGAGGTTTTAACTCGTGCTGTTTCTAGACTAAATATTGAGTGGCCAGAAACAGGAGAACAGGATGTTTGCAGAAATAAAAAGAGTTTGTTAGACGAGAGATTTTTGCCATCCAGAGTGCAGCCTCCACGCCGGGGACTCCCGTTTTTTCCCGATCTCCACTGAGGTGTCGAGGTGTCGAGGTCGTGGAAAAAGCCGGTGTCTTTCCGTGTCTTTAATCCCCAGACACATAATTATAGTAACGTTATGGGGATGAAGGACGCGGGTTATATGACGATGCCTCAGGCTGAAGAGAGAGCTATCTCTCTCCTGAGTCAGTGTCATCTCTCAAAGCCCCGGCATTACCCACCAAGCCATTAAAATCAACTTCAGCGCTGGTGGGTAAAGCGTATTCGGCGGCGGGTCAGGCTGCGGCATGCTTGCATACCATGTCTATTTTGCAAGCGTACCAAGCCGACCTGCTTAGGGATTTGGATGATTGTGAGGAAGTCAGCGCTGACGTGATTCGCGAATTACGTCGCGCGACGGATCTATCTCTCCGTGCCACCAAAGAGACGGCTAAATCTGTGGGTCGATCTATGTCAGCTTTGGTGGCTACTGAGCGCCATCTGTGGCTTAATTTAGCTGATTTAAAAGATAAAGATAGATCTGTCCTTCTGGATGCTCCACTATCACCTTCTGGTTTATTTGGTGATTCTATAAACACAGTTATTGAAAGATTTCAAGAATCTAAGAAACAAAATGCAGCATTCCAGAAGTTTCTTCCTCGCCGATCTAATATCCCTGAGACTGCTGGGCGTTCTGATCAGTCTCGGCCGACTACGAGCTCCTCGCAGTACAGAGTACAGCAGAAAGAAAGCGTCGCTTCTCGGGCTCCTCCTCAGGCAAAGGGGAGGGGGGGGCCGGGCTGGCGTTCGCAGTCGAAGCCTATTAGAGACAGGCCAGATCTGAGGACTGTCATTGTCTCTAAGAAAGCTTCGGCTAAGAAGAAGTCCTGACGCCAAGGCTGTCAGGCTTCTGAGGGTGGTCCCCTCCGGGGAGAAACGGTTTCGAGGAATCGTTTCTCCTCTGCGCCCTCCGGGGGGCGACTCTCTGAGGGGAGTCGCAGCGCCGTCAGTTCGGTTGTTCCCTGCCGGCTATCCGTTTCAGGGCACCGAGGTGTCGGCGTCCCCAGACGATCCTCCGAGGAGGGTCGTAGAACAGTCAAGTCGGTTGTTCCCTGCCGGTTATCTGCTTCAGGGCACCGAAGTGGCTCTTCAATTAAATCCAGAGGCCAGTCTCGAGAGACTGGTACCCTTAGTAGATTTTTTGGCAGCGTGGAAACTTCTGCCAAATGTATCTCATTGGGTCCTGCAGATTATACAATCGGGTTACAGAATTCAGTTCGGTTCTCGTCCGCCCAGGTTTATAGGGGTTCTTCCCACCGTGGTGAACTCCGAGCAGGCTCTGGTCATGGAGCAGGAAGTACTGACACTTCTGCAAAAAGGAGCTATAGAGAGGGTTCCTCCTCCCAGCAGAGAGTCAGGGTTTTACAGCCGCTACTTTATTGTTCCAAAAAAGGACGGGGGGTTACGTCCTATTCTAGACCTGCGTCTTTTAAACCACACAGTTCAGAAACTCAAGTTCAAGATGCTTACACTCAAACAGATAGTGTCACAGATTCAGTCCGAGGACTGGTTTGTGACGATAGACTTGAAGGACGCTTATTTTCATATTTCCATCCATCCTCATCACAGGAAGTTCCTGAGGTTCGCTTTCGGGGGCGAAGCGTACCAATATCGGGTTCTTCCGTTCGGCCTAGGGTTATCACCCCGCACTTTCACGAAATGCATGGATGCAGCCCTGGCTCCTCTCAGATTCCAGGGCATCCGTGTGTTAAATTACATCGACGATTGGCTGATTTTAGCTCACTCAGAGCAGATGGCAGTTCGGCATCGAGATGCCGTTCTGTCCCATTTGAAACGGCTAGGGCTGAGGCTCAACGCCAAGAAGAGTGTTCTCCTCCCATCTCAGAGGACGAACTTTCTGGGTGTGGTATGGGATTCGACAACGATGCGGGCACAGTTGTCTCCAGCACGTATTTCATCGATTCTCTCAGCCGTAAAAGGGGTGAAACTAGGCCGGTCACTCACTGTGAAACAGTTTTAAAGACTGTTGGGTCTCATGGCAGCTGCGTCCAACGTTATCACTTTTGGCCTTCTGTACATGAGACCCCTGCAGTGGTGGCTCAGGACCAAGGGGTTTTCCCCGAGGGGAAATCCATTTCGCTTGATCAAGGTCACGCGGCGCTGCCTTTGTGCCTTGGTCATGTGGAGCAAACCTTGGTTCCTCGCCCAGGGCCCAGTGTTGGGGGCTTATTGTCGACGCGTTTTGCTTTCGACGGATGCTTCCCTCACAGGGTGGGGGGCGATCATGAGTGGTCGCTCGGCAAGAGGTCTTTGGCAGGACCATCAGGTTTCCTGGCACATAAATCGTTTGGAAATGATGGCGGTGTTTCTAGCTCTCAAGCACTTCCTGCCAGACCTGAGAGGCCACCATGTGCTTGTCCGCACGAACAATACATCAGTGGTCTCGCACATAAACCATCAGGGGGGTCTGAGGTCACGTCACCTCTGCAAATTGGCTCATCAGATCCTTCTGTGGGCCCAAGGGAAATTACTGTCTCTCAGGGCAGTTTTTATTCCAGGGCATCTGAATCAGGGAGCAGATATCCTGTCAAGGCAGGGGCTGAGGCCCGGGGAGTGGAGACTTCACCCCGAGGTGGTGGAACTCCTGTGGGAGAAATTTGGTCGTGCTCAGGTAGACCTTTTCGCATCTTTAGATTCAACTCATTGTCAAATGTGGTTTTCCCTTACGCACCCAGCTCCTCTCGGACTGGATGCGATCGGTCAGGTTTGGCCGAGGCTGCGCCTGTACGCTTTCCCCCCGATATCTCT